TCACATGGCTGGTCACAACAGATATTCCTCCCTGGATTTTCATGCCAATATGATTTGGAAAACCAAGGCTCCCCCTAGAATATCCTTTTTTGCTTGGGAAGCTGTTAAAGAACGCATCTTTACTATTGACAATCTCAAAAGAAGAGGAATTATCGTGGTTAATCTATGTTACCTCTGCAAAGCTAATTTGGAAACCACCAATCATTTGCTCCTATGGTGTCCGTTTTCACAATCACTTTGGTCTCTGGTTTTCAGCATTATGGGATTGCATTGGGTTACTAATGGTATGGTTAAAGGAGAATTACTTGCTTGGAAAGGTCTTTGCAAGAAAAAATCATCCCACAGAATTATTCCCTTATCTATTTTTTGGGATCATTTGGAAAGAAAAAAACAGAAGAGCCTTTACAGGAAAAGAAATGGATTTTGTCTCAATCAAGGACAAATGACTTCACCTTTTTGGTTCTATTATTTTAGAACACAACCTTGATAGCATCATTAATCTAAGAAATATTGTAGATATACTCACTGATCTGTAAATCCTTTGTACGTGGGCGGCATCCTCTTAGTACCTATTTTAATACACTTTACACTTATATTTCAAAAAAAAGAAGTTCTCCAAGATTTTCAATTGAATACAGTTGTTACCTCAATATCAAAATATGTGTTTGGAACCATCTCTCTAATTCCATCTAGGTTCTCATCCAACCCCTCAAAACTCTCATGTCCTTTCTTTCCATAGCACCCAAATAACTGCCAAAGAAATAAGCCCCAACTGCTTTTTCTCCTCACAATGTCCTTCCACGCTCAGATATCCTATTTGACAGTGCCAACCATAGACCATAAACTACAGGCTAAGGTACATCTGAGCCTTTTCTGCTCTTTTACATAAACAACATCAGTTTGTTATGACCTTCTCTCTCCTTATAAGCTTATCAATGCTCAATATGCATCTACGAGTTGCTTCCCAAGCAAAAAAACTACTCTTAGGGCTGCATTTACTTTCTACATTTGTTTGAATGGGAAATTTCCTTCAATAGGCTCTTTCTTGGTCAAATGTTTGTAGGACAACCCCGCATTAAATCTTCCAGTTGTGCCAAAATCTCGTACAAGTTGATTAGACTCATTACTACATGAGATCAAAATCAAAACACTTAACAATGATTCATATTTGTTTAGTTCTCAGTCACTAAAATTCCACACTACCTCCAAATGTGACACCTTGTAGATCTCGCTTCATTAAGCATCTCTTTAACAAAAATGTCCCTATTCTGCGCTATTGCAAAACTGAGGGAAGCTAGCTCCCACAGTTCCTCCATCAAGCCAAAGGTCGAACCAGAAGCTTAATGTCTCCCCATCCCCAACTCTTCACTTAACACATTCGTGAAATTTTTCCTTTCCTACACAGATCCTCTTCCATAGCCTTTTTCCATTCTCGTGGGCACTCTAGAATACTACCCTCTAGCAACAATACCAAACTTCACCTCAACAATTCTTTTCTATAGACTCCCTCTTTTATTCATAAATCACCACAACCACTTCTCTTAAAGAGTCAGATTCATTTCAACAATAGATCTCATGCCCAATCCACACTGATTTATTGGACTTTTAATCTTGTCCTAAACCACCAAAAGATATTTCCTATTCTCTATTGAGTCGCCTCACAGGAATCTGCATTATACTGTTTTTAATTTCTTGACAATGCTCTTCGGTATAGAAAGTAAGGATATATAGTATATAGGAAGATTGGATAGAGTGTTTCTAATAAGTGTTAAAAGATTGTCATTGGAGAGAAAATTCTTTTTCCACCCTACAAGCATCCTCTCAAGTTCGCCAACAATAAATTCCAAGTCCCCAAATCTTTACAATTAGCACCTAACAGCATGCCCAAATGCTTGATCACCAGGTCCACAACTTCACAACCAAAAGTCGTCGCTTATCTTCCAATGTTACTCCCATTCCCCAACCTAACCATTTTCGACTTCACAAGATTAATGTTAAGGCAGAAACAACTTGGAAACAAAGCATACACATTTGAGATTTAGCAAAAATCTCTCTTGCGATGGACAAATAATGTGTCATCGGCAAGAAAGCGTGTTACTTCCTTTAACGTCTTTCCTCATCCACCTGATCCCACTAAAAACC